GAAATAAATTTATTAAAATTTTCTGACCATTGTGTTATATCTTTTAATGTCGGTGGTGGACGACGTGGAACTTCAAATAAAGCTTTTGTTGAATGATATTGACTTAATGGTGCTTCGCCATCAGCTAATTCAATAGCTGTTATACCAAGAGACCATATATCACATCTTTCATCAAATGAATATTCCAATTGCTGAGCACACGCAATGACTTCCTATATGTTAATAATTATTAAAAAAAAAAGCAAACATTACAATTGGTTTTGTTTTTATCTTACAGGTGCCATCCAAAGTGAAGTACCAACACTAGAATTACGTTTTGGCTGTGCTTTACTAAAGAAAGCAGCAACACCGAAATCAATCAATTTTATAATATAATTTTCTGTTACTAATATATGACTACCTTTGATATCTTTAATATGAAAATAAAAAGAATTAGTGCTCTTCTTTTAGAAAAATATATATGACTTACCACGATGCATAATACCTGATTGATGAAGATATTTTAATGCTTTTAATGTACTTTTTAATGCATAAGCAACTAATTTTTCTTTTTCACATTTATTTAATTGATTTTCTTTTTGAATTTGTTTTAATAGTTGAGTAATTGGCCCTAAATGACATAGTTCCATAACGAACCATATACGTGGAACATTGAATTCATCAAAATCACCAAATAGATCAATAAAATCAGGTAAATTCTCTTGTTGTTTAGAAATTTTCTTTAAAATATTTAATTCATTTTCGAATTCATTCGAAATATCTTCGGATTTAAGACGAATTATTTTTGCTGCTACATATTCATCAGAATTATAATGTTTAGCACGAAAAACTTGTCCATATGTACCTTCACCTAATTTATCAAGTAATATCCATAGAGCATTTGGATTAGGTAACTATTTAAACAAAAATAGAAGATATATGAACAAAAAAAACACAAAAGAAATGAAAGTTCTCATTACTTTTTCATGTTCAATTGTTGATGAAGATTCCATTTGGCCAAATGTTCTGTTTTTTTTTAAAAATACTTCATATTTGCTTTGTGTCGTTTCCATTTAATCTGGCTCTTATCATTCTTCAAAATCTTCGATTAATACTCTTTTTTTTTCTCTTTTCTCTCTATTTATCGTATTCTCGACTCATTTGCTTTGACAGACAAGTGGAGGTAATATGCGTAAAACAAAAGAAGAAAATAAAGATATTAATCAACACTACTGCTTAACTCTCTGTGAACATTCAAAAAAGAGTCAATGAAGGTTTTATAAAATTCTTCACGTTCTTGTCTACTTTCTTTTTCTCGTCCGTTACACGAACTATTTTAGACCTTGTCTTTACGTGTCTGTGTGCGTGTTCATCTACAGCTCTTTGTTGATCGTTTTATTGATAAATCAACCGGAAGGGAAGAAAATATTTTCTGTGACAAGCACGTCCAATATTCAATGATATATTAATATAACTCAAAAAAAAAAAAATATGAAAAAGTGGAAATGTTGCTTCAACTTTAATAAAGATAAAGAATTATTATTGACATAATTGCCATTAGGTTTTTTTTTATTGAAATATAGAAAAAAAAACAAAAAAACAAAACACAATATTTATTTTTTCATTGCACGAACACGTCGAGATGATATACTTTGTCCAATAGGCATTCGTTGTGGAGCATTTTTATGTAATTCAAGATCAGCTAAAATTTCTTCAAGTTCCAATTGAATTAAATGATTATTATCGATTGGTAATGGATTAATACGACGAGAAGATGAACGATGACTTTGTACTGATATTCGTCGACGATTTTGAAACCAAATACCTGAGAAATTTTATAAAACGATGGTATTTTTTTTCGCTAGTACCATTAGAAATAAAATAAAAAGAAAACTTACGAATTTGTTCACGTGTAGCTCCTATTCGATCGGCAATAACATTCTTTTGAATACTATTAGGATAAGGAACATGTTCGAATATTTCATTAAGTAACCAACGTTGACGAATGGTATATTGTAATCGATTAGGAAGATTTGTTGTTGAACGAGGAAGTGGAGGTGATAATGATGAAACATAACCAATCTAAAATAAAGCAAGTTAAAAAAAACAAAAATCGATAATTTCAAGGAAATTTTACTTGAGATGATGGTACGATCGGTGGTGATAACTGGTGATAAGGAAAAGTACCATCAGAATAATAATAATAACCAGGTTGTTGTTGATCATACACTGGACACATAATCATATGTGGAGATGATGATGATGATGATGACATAGGTGATTCAAAATATGATGAATTTGATGAAGATGTATCATAACTATTACTATAAGGATATGGTGAATACGACCAATAAGATGAACAATTTCCATCATATGATGATGCCATAATTTGATTATTACTCAAGTTGATCGGCAGTTAAATATTCTTCTATTATTGTTGTTTTTTTTGAATATATATATACTTGGATATCTTTTCTCTCTTTCGTGTACCAATCAAATTGACATCCGATGAGAAATATGATTATTTCACGCATTTATGTATTCAATAAATAAACACTAATTGGTAATTAATGTATTCGTTTATGTAAAACAATCAACACTTACTTATTGAAGAGTCAAGCTCTTTAACAGTGTAGTCAAACTTTTTTTTGTTTTAATAACAAATATATTAATTGATGGTCACATAACGAATACATTCTATCTAATACGTAAGAGTTCAATGAAGTTCACATATGATATTCTATCAAAAAATTGAAACATATTTACATGTTCGCTTAGAATCAAGATACAAAAATTGATGAGCTTCATATAAATATATAGATATCAAATTGATTGATTGAAAAATTTCTTTGTGAAAAATTGTGATATGAATTTTATCTCTTTTATGGTTCGTCGACAATTTTCTTGTCAAATTTAAACATTAAATTAAGTATCAATTATCTGTGTATTGCTTTAACATTGCATGATAGCAATAGTTTCATCTTTGAAAATCAGTTTCATCATATTGCGATCTCATTTTACAATGGAATATTGTCGAATGTTAATTAAGGAGATTAATCATGTTCTCACTACCAAACTAACTCATTTAAAATCTGAGCGGCTCGTAGCGTTTATGAACCGAGATATTCGATTTTCAAGGTATCTAAAGGCTAGTTCGTGTATCCATACTTCAAAATTGCAGCAGCATTTTTTTTTGTCATGCTCAAATGAGAAAACGATATCACACATGTTGAAAAGCAATTTTACGACAACGTCCAAGATACCATTGTTATTAAATATAAGGGTAATAGATATAAAATTCTCGCTTTTGTAAAATTGCTTTTTGAATATTTGTGATATTATTTTCCTTTTATCTAACTCACTGAGCTCAATCAAACTATGAAAAAAAAAGTTGTTGCAATTTTGAAGTGTGACCACATAATATAGACTACACTTACTTTGAAATTCGAATACGTCGATCCTTGAATGTTATGGGCTGTTCATATTTTAAATTAGTTAGTTTGACAGTGAGAAGAACATTCACTTGATGCGAACAAGTTCGATCTCCTTAATTTACAGTGCATGTTCTTCCATTGTTAGGTTCAGTTTCAGTTTTTTCTTTTGAAGAGAAAAAAAAGCAACATACGCCTCTATCAACTGTTTCATGATTACACTAACTTTTTGAATGACATTCTGATAAGGATTGAATCCATATATCATGCATAGAAGACTATAATTTACTTTTTTTTGTAGTTTGTAATTAAATACATTGATATTTGTCCTATACACAGAAAGTAAGGTCTGAGAGAATACAAAATACAGAAAAGAACTTAAAGATGTAGTTCATCAAAAGTTACAATTCTTCTGAAAACGACTCGTAAACAATGAACTTCATAGAAATCATTTATTAAATATTCTGTGAATTCGTTGAACAGATGTAGTTGTATCTGTAATATTAACTCAAGCTCTGACACATCTACACCAAATGTTTATCTAGATGAAAACATTGTAGAAGTTTGTAAGATACAAAACTTAAGTTTTATCTTGATTACAACACTTCTTTTATTGCAGCTTCATTCATAGAGAACGATCTTGAACTACAAACATCAAGTTAAAAGATCAAATAGTTTCATGAAACACTGCTATATGTTTTTCTTCATCTATCTTCCTTATCAGAGACGAGCAACTCTAACTCAGAATTGAAGTTGACGCGTTCTCTCATCGAACTTGGGATGAAATTTTGCAATCGGTAGACAGATTTGAAGCAGGACATAGTGAAATTATCCATCTCTGTTTTTTCATCAAATGTTAAAACTAATCTAGCCTAAAGTAAATCCATCTCATCTTGATACCATTTATATAATGTAAACTTTAAGTATTCTGTACAAATCCAATAATGTATTGATTTAATAATTGTACTTTCAATATCTCTGCGTATTTTATTTTGCAAAAAAAAAGAGTGAAGAGAAAACACTTTGAAAAGCACCGTAGTTTGATACCTTTCATATCGCATCAAATATATTCACGCTCATGATTAACAAAAGACGAAAACAAAAGAAATCACTAGAAGTATCTGATTGAAAATATACTCTCATACATATGTTTGGATTTTAACCTTCAAATTTATCACCATCATTCGAATACTTCCTAGTAAAGAAAATAGGTTTGAAAAACATCGAAAAGAAAAAATAAATCAAAGGACAAAACAAAAAAAAGAAAGAAAAACGCCGACATTTCTTTTTTTCTTCTTAACGATGTATAAAGAACGAATGATGATGAAGTTACATACTTTATTTTGGTAAGTGTTTACAAAGACAAAAAAAAAAGAAAGAAAGAGAAAAACGCAAGAAACTAAATGTACAAACAATTCAATGAACTGTTCTTTCCGAACTAGTGTTGTATTAGAAAAAAAAAAAGAAAATCTTGTTCGTTTTGACTTATTGTTCAACATATGTTCGGAATGTACAAAGCACAAAACAACAATTTTATATTTTATTTATATAAAAACAAAAAACAAACAAACAAACAAACATTTCTTTTTCTTAATCCCAATTTTCATTAGTCGCACCAGCAGAAACTGTACCACCAGTAGGAGCACTTGCTTGATTTCGACTACCAAAACTATTATGTCCAGATCTCATCTAAAATAGAAAAAGAACGAAAAATTTAATGATTAAAATAAAATCAACACATACATCAGTAGTTCGTGAACCATGACCATCATTATAAAATCCAACATTACCATCATCAGCATATTTTTTAAGAAATTCAGGTACTGCTTGACCAGCCTAATCAAATAAAAGAATTCAAAAAGAAATCTTCAATGCAAAAAAACTACATACTTCACTTAATTTTAATATAAGTTCAGGAGCAATTTTTCGATCAGAATCTCGATCTGGATCAAAAAATGATATTGATTTACCCAAATGACCAGCACGACCTAGAGAAAAGAAAAAAAAACAAACGTTCATGAAATTTTGTTTTTTTTTGTCGAATTAATTCTACCTGTTCGACCAATACGATGAATATAAAAATCACTTGTATCTGGTAAATCATAATTAACAACATAACCAATTAAAGGAAAATCTAAACCACGAGCAGCAACTGATGTTGCAACAAGTATTGGACATTTTCCACTTGTAAATTGTTGTACAGCTTCATTTCGTTGTCTTTGTGTTCGATCACCATGCATTGTTGTACTCATAAATTGTTTTTGTGAAAGTAATGCAGCTATATAATCAGCTGATCGTTTTGTTTCAACAAATATTAAACAACGTTCAGATTCTAAATGAAAAAAAACAAAAATAATGTTTGTTTTTTTGTTGTCTTATTTTCTCCTACTAAGATTTTGTTCGAGTAATTGAAAAAGACGATCTTTTTTTTTTGGTTGTGGCACTTCTTCAATTGTTTGTGCTATATCTTCATTAGCACCACCAGGTATACCAACAGCAAGAAAAACATAATTGTCACGTAGAAAATGTTTAGCTAATTGTTGTACTTCTTTTGGAAATGTTGCAGAAAACATTGATGTAAAACGTTCATCTTTTTGTGGTAAACCAAGATCTTCTAATTTACGTATATCAGGTTCAAAACCTGTATCTAACATTCTTTAAGAAAAAAAAAACCAAGACAGATTAGATTCAATGCAATAGTTTTTTGTTTTTTTACATACCGATCGGCTTCATCGAGAACAAAATATTTAACTTTTTTTAATGAGACCTTGATAGAAAAAAAGAAATTTTTTTTGTTCTTATTTTTACATATAAAAATTAAATTAAATTTTACTCGGCCTTTTTCAACCATATCTTTGAGACGACCGGTAGTAGCTGAGAGAATATGACAACCTTCTCGGAGACGATCCGATACAGCAAACATGTCATGACCACCAACAGCAGAACCTTTGGATAGAAAAAAAAATTTTTTTAATGTGTTTGAGTTTTTTTTAAAACATAACATACAAGGTAATACAGCAGTTTGAAATGCAAATTTTCTTGCTTCACGTTCAGTTTGTAAAGCAAGTTCACGTGTAGGTGAAACAATAAGACAAAGTGGTGATGGTGGATGATAGCTTTCAGATAATTCATCCACATGATATTCAAGTAAATTTGAAATAATTGGTAAGAGAAAAGCAGCCTAAATATATTATTTGATTAACAATTAATATTAATAAAGCAAAAAAAAATCTGAAACTTACTGTTTTACCAGATCCAGTTTGAGCACAAGCCATTATATCATCTTGTTGTCGTATACAAGGTATTGTATAACGTTGAATAGCTGTTGGTTCTTCAAAATTAGCACGACGAATATTTGATAAAATTTGTGTAGCAAGATTAGCTTCTTCATATAATTCAATTGGTTTTACTTTGTCTTAAAAAAAAAAATTATAAAATTAAATATAAAAAATAAAGAATATTTAATTACCTGAAGGTGTACATTTAACATGTGTTTGGTGATATTTTCCAAAGTTTTCACCCCTGGTAACTGCTTCACCAAATATACCATCTTCAGTAGTTGGTGGAGGTGGTGGAACATAACGTTCATTTGGTTGATTACCAGTACGACCACCAGCTATTAAAAAAAAGAATTATTACAATTATTGTTCTATCTTATACGTATATACTTACGTTGATCAAAAATATCATCAGATGCCTAAATGAATTAATGCGTTTTTTTTTGTGTTATTTTCAGAATAAATATTAACTTACTCGATTATTATTTCTCCGACCACCAGAACTACCGAAACTATTACCACCACCATCTAAAGGACATTACAAAAAATAAATAGATAAATAAAGAATTCAAAAATATAAAAAAGTGAGTTATACCACGAGGTTTTCTTTCTTCAGGACATTCACGAGATTGATGACCAGGTTTATTGCTAAAAAAACAAAAAAAATAAATTAACAACTGTAATAAATATACAATTGGCAAATAAAACATACCAATTGTAACAATCTAAATAAAAAAAAAGCAAATAAAATTAAATATATTATTTAAATAAAATCAATACTCACTGCCGCCACCACCGCCACGACCATCTATACAATAAAGAAAATCAAAATTTTCATATTCATCTAAATTTCTCTTACCACGATCACCTGAACTGAATCCTCCTCCACCACCACCTCGACCCCCTTTACAACATAATTTGTATATGTATATTAAATAAAGAATTGTTTTTTTTTTGTTTACCTCGAAATCCACTACCACCATTATTAAAGCCACCACGCATTGTTGAATTAACAAATGTTGTACTTCTACTATTAGATTCTTCAGAATCATTACTATTAGCCGTTTTATTTCCTCCACCACCTCGCCAACCACTAAAACTTGTTTTTGTATCATTATTATCATTTTCATATTGATTTCTCGAATTACGGAATGTTACAGACATCGATGAACTTCCATCGTTTGCCGATGATGTGAAAGCAATGTTACGATCGTTACCATTTGAATTAAATCCACCACGAATGTTGCCACCTGAGTTAAATCCACCACGATCACTGCTACCACCTGAGTTAAATCCACCACGATCACTGCTACCACCTGAGTTAAATCCACCACGATTGTTGCCAAAATTGAAACCACCACGGTTTCCACCACCGCTGCCGCCACGATTTTCTTTTCGTGGTTCAGAACATTCTCGACTCAAATGACCAGCCTTATTACAATTATAGCATGCTTGAAAATAAAACCAAAAAAGCGATTTCAATTAATACTTCATAATTGTTTAGATATCTAAACTATACGCTTACTTCGAGAATTACCATCATTATTCGATCCAAATGTTCCACCACGTCCACCTTGAATTAAAAGAAGAAAATTTTTATTTTATAAATGTAAAAATTTCATTGGATAGTAATTACCACTAAAACCACCACTACTTCGTGAACCAAAACCTCCACTACTATTTGGATTATTATTTTCATCATTATTATAATTATTACGAAAACTACTTGAACTTTCTCTTGTATTACTATTCCATTTTGAAACTGATGGTGGTTCTAAAAAAATCCTATCATCCATAAAAAAAAAAGTAAATAAATGTTTAATTTTTACCATCATTATTTGTTTCCGGTCGTGCTTTTCCACGTCCAATACCTAAACGTGCCGTTCCTGTTGATGTCGTTTGCTACATACATAATAAATTCCAACAATTTTTATTATCCCTTTCATATAAAAACTAACTTGTTCAGATGTTTTAGATGCTTGTGCATCGTCCCATGATTCTTCTGTCATGATCCAGAGATGCTTTGATTTTATGAGTAAATTCACAAAAAAAAAACCAACCAACCCACTGCTATCTAGAATCAATCAAAATGATATTAAAACAAAAATCATATGTATTGATTTGTGTTTTTTTTTCTTTATTATTCTTCTTCTTATTTTTTGAATGTTCTTTTTAAAAAAAAACATACAAACAACGAAAGGACAACATAACGGAAAAAGAAAAAAAACAATGCTTCTTGTCGTTGTTGTTGTTTTTTTTTGACTTGAATTTTTTTTAAAATTCTAATTGTTTATTTCTTTTTTCCAGCTGGTGCTGCTGCTTTAGCAAAAATATTAAATTTATTTGCAATACGTTGAGATTTAGCAACAAATTTTCGTCGTTTAACTTTTTTTGTTTTAGATGATAATTGTACTTTATTCTTCTTTTTCAAACGATTATATTCATGATTTAATATACGACTATATGCTTGTTTAGCATGTAATAATTTAAAACGATCTAAATCTGTCATTTTTGAACGTAAATGTTTTGCTTGCATTTTTTTAAACCAACGTGTTTCTTGCCATTTTTTATTAATATCATCTTTATCCCAAAGTGTTTTAACTGTTTTTGAACGAGCTCCAGGTAAAAGTTTGAGTACATATTTTGTTAAATGTAATGATTTAATATTTAATGCTTGACGACGTACATGTGATGATGGACCATCGACAAGTACACGTGTCTGATCAATAACATTTGTAATACAACAAATTTTACCCTTATTTGGACCATAAGCAACGTAAGCTACACGGCCAACTTGAACTAAACGATCGTAGGGCATGATGAATTAGATATCTTCTTGATATTCTTTTTTTTTCTTTTTTAGTCTAAAACGGATTAAGAAAAAAAATTCCGATTAGTATATTTATTCAAAAAGAATCATTAAAAACGAAGACGTTAAAAAGAATACCCAGTTTGTATTTTTTTTCTCTTTGCATAGCTCAAATTGGTAAATAAACAATTATTTCATTGGATACGATGGGGAAGGTTTGTTTCTAATGTTGCTATATGAATACGCAAGAAAATTAAATTGAAATTAAAAATAAGTGAAGATTTTTATTTCAAGAATATATTTTAATACTACATGAATATTATACAAATGCATTACTGAATTACTATGACACACCAACAATTGATTAACATCAATGGTGGAAAGAACGAATCAGATTTACTTCATAGTTATTAATATTTTTAATATCAAATACAACAAGCAATCGCAGAGTACTCAAGGTACTAACGATCTTGAAAAAAATAATTTATCTTTTCTTTGCTGGGAAAATATAGAGATAAACTGTGTATTGGTACTTTGTTTGTGCTTGAAGAAGTTAATATTAACAGTACTTTTTTTTTAATGAGAATCAAAAATAAGATGCTTTTTGCGCATTGTGTTGATATTGACACAGTGTACGTGTGCAGCACTTTCTTTTTTGAAGCAGACTATGGGAAAGTGTAAAATGAAGAATTTGTAAAAATTATATATTAAAGAAAAATTCATCTGCTTTTTTTTCATTTAATAAAAAGTACCTATTAATAATAAAAAAGAAGCCAGAAGCATAAAAAAACACATTTTTTTCCTGATGCAATCAAAGAGAGATTAGGAGATAGAAAAAAAAAACATCAGAATAAGTGAAATGAGTATTGTTTTTTGGTAAAAAAAAATGTATACGATCATCTGGAAAACAAAAGATTATTTTATTCAGGTAAGTGTGTTATGGACACTCTGCTCAGTAGCGGATGTAAGATTTCAATAGGTGCAACTTTTCAATGAAAAACTATTGATCTCGGTCAAAAACATGTTTTGAATTTTCATTATAGACAGTATCAGTTCGTTTTTTTGAGATTTTGCTGTTGGGAAAAGCCAGAAAATGTTTTTTGGTAGAGAAGGCATTGCTCTCAATTTTTCTCTGTAAATCCAGCACTAATTCTACCTTTTTGAGCAAAATGTAAAACACTCTGTATATTCAAAGCAATAGATGTTCTATAATTTTTGCTTCTATTTGGCACATTTGTCATTAGAAATACTGCTAGGAAAACATAGCAAAAGTAGAAATAAACCATGCATTGCTACTTTGCTTCAAATTCGCGTCAAAAATTTCAGGAAGTTTCACACCTAGTTTTTTTTTCGCCAATGTCTGGCACCTTTTGTGTAAATGAACAAATGAACGATCAAGATTTTAACTATTTATTGGCTACTGTCAAAAAAAAGTTAATGTACAGTTAAATAGTTTTAGTTGTATGTATGTAAACGAGATCAAGCAAATAGGAAGCTGCGGATTCGGATCCGATTCTACATTTTTTATTTTTTTTCGGATCCAGGTCCATGTTTTCTTGGACTCGGATCCGGCCGATCAAAATTGTTGGAGTCGGACCTAATTAATTGGTATTTTGTGAATAGAATCCATGGGTAATGTCTTGCAGGAATGATTTTTTTTCCTGTATTTTTTCGTTCCGTTTTCTGCTGAAGTTGGGAACAGGAATTTCTGTGAAGACTTCACGAATGGGAACGATATTAAAAATGAGCATTCCCAAAAAATTGTTTGTTTTTGTTATTTTCGTTTATGTATATACTCTTCGAATTTTACTCTTTCAAAAAAATGTCAAAGTCAATATGACGTTATATTGTTGAGAAATAAATTTTGATATTCTTCCAAAGACTTTTGCATCACTTATTAATTAAAAAAGAAATAAAAAATACCGATCAACAGAAATTAGATAAGCTTATTCATTAGAATGTAATTCAATTATAATAATCATTATTTGTTTTTCGTGACTATCATCTTGGAAAAAGAGTATTTTTCAGATTATCTCGCAATATAGCATTGTTATTACCTTCTCCTCTTTTGAATATTTTCGTTTTTTCATCAATATTATTGACTCTTAGCTTAATGTTGATTGATTTTGACGTATAAATAATAATTGATTTATTTTACTAAAATACATCTCCAATAATAATTTTATTTTTAATTGAACCCCATCCCATTTAGTGCAAAGTGCGATACTCAAAGAAGCTAGTGTCGCGTAATGATAGTTTCTCTCAAACACAAAAAATTAAATAGTAACACGAACTCTGAAAGCATTACGCGAACGGAAAAGAGAAACCAAAAACTTATTCCCGCTGGACATTATCATCGGTGTCCAACAATCTCTGGATCCGATAGACTCTAATCCGGACCCGCAGGTTCCTAAGAAATGTTGCTATAAAATACAATTCAATGGATAAATTAGTTCTTAGATTCGTCCAATAAACTCTCAAGAACTCAGCATAGGAACACTCGGTCGTCTTAGATCTATATGGACCGTATGTATTTTTTCAAGTGGGGCAATTTTGTGCCTCTATAGATGTCGTTCATAATCGGTGCGCTGAACTCTTTATCATTTTTTTTTCCAGTAAATCCGTCCTCGTAAACGAAAAAGAAAAACTAATTTCTATTATTTTAAAAGGAAAATCATACTAATCTTCTTCAAATTTTTCTTCTTTAAATATCTCAAAATTCATTGAACTAATTCAAGGTGCATTGTTGTATATATTTACTATTATTTTTGCGGTTGATGAGTCATCTTTCATCTTTCTTCCTCGTGTGTCAACTAAGACATTGACCGACTAAGTTTTGTTCATTCAAAAAAACAAAATAAGAAAAAGAAAATTTCATCATTTGTTTTTTTGCTTGTCTAGATCATGTGATATAAAAAACTTTCAATGGTAGCCAAAGGCACACGAGATCGACGATCATCACTGGCCAAGGTCACAACTACACCAACAACTACTCGACGAACACAAGTATCATCAACTAGTCAAGATAAAAAAGTATAATTAAATTTAATTTTGTTTTAAATATTTCAATGAAATCATTATAGAAAACTGCTAAACCAATTGGTATTTGTGGATTTTGTTTGGGTGATAATGAAAAAAATGCAAATGGTGTTCCAGAAGAAATGATACATTGTGCTGAATGTGGAAACTCAGGTACAATTTAGCCGGTTTTTTTCTTTTTTGTTTCATAATTTAAAACAAAACTTTATCATTTTAGGACATCCATCATGTTTACAATATTCTGAAAAATTAGTAAAAAAAATTCGAACAATTCATTGGCAATGTATCGATTGTAAACGATGTATTATTTGTAATAAAAGCGATGATTCAGTATGAAATTAAAATTTTTCTATTGTTTTTCTTTTTTAAAGTCATTTTTTTTTTGTTCTATTGTTTTAAGCTATTATTCTGTGATTTTTGTGATTCTGGTATACATCCACAATGTTGCAATCCACCATTAAATAACATTCCTAAAGGTGATTTTGCTTGTCATGCTTGTCATGATGAAATAATGTCATCACCAAATAAAAATCTTTCATCATCATCAACACGTTCTCGCCGTAGTAATATATCAAATGATGAAAATACATCAAAAATTATATCTTATCCTGTTGCTCAAGTTATTGATAATATGTCAAATTTTTTCATACCAAATAAATCCAATCATAATGATATTCGACAACAATCTGTACAAAAAGCAATGAAATATTTACGTGAAAATAAAACATTAAAATCTTCAAATAGAAAATTACTTAAAAGACTTCATTCATCATCATCATCAAATATAATCAAAGAAAATGATCAATTATTAACTAAAACAAATTTAATTTCATCAAAATCACAACGTATACGAAAAAAACTTTTACAAGATGATGATTTATGTTCAAAGTATAAAAAACATTTTTTTTTTAATTTTTCGAATATATTAAATTGTTCATGGTTTTTTTGTTTGTTTTGTTCAGTCTTCAAACAAGTACTCCTTTATTAACACGTCAGTTATCAAATAAAAAATCCCTTACAATTGAACCATTAACTTTTCAAACAATTTATCCAATTGAAGAATTAAATAAAACACCATCATTACGATCAACTAATAAACGAAAACATTCAACAAATTCTTTATCACCAATTTCTATTAGATCATCAATTGTAAAAAAACGT